TATAAGAAGAAAGGCTTTCACGGCCGGAATCCATAGTAGAATGAAGATTCGGGCTATAGGGCCGTGGTCTAAGTGAACTGTTCCGTCCAGACGTTTCGTCAGCTACTGCGGCTGACATCTTCAGTGGTAGTGCTGCGTTGACAACGTGAACGTAGATTATATCTGGAAGTCTCGACAGCGACTGGGCCGCAGTAGCTGACGAAACGTCTGGACGGAATAGTTCACTTAGACCACGGCCCTATAGCCCGAATCTTCATTCTACTATGGATTCCGGCCGTGAAAGCCTTTCTTCTTATATTTCTTCAAACATTTTAGGTCATAAATTCCTTTCGTTTATTATTTGGTTTTATAATATTTTCAATAATTTCATTGTCATACAAGCAAATTGTACGTGATGAATTCAACAATTCCTGGTAGCATAAATGAGGTTTTTCTGTCACTAATACCTGGCTCATTGTTAGCTCATTCTTACCTGTTTCCAGAACTTTTCTATATATGGTTGAACTCAACACCCTCTCGTATATGACGGAAATTCCTATATTTGTCCACCATCATAATATCTTTCATTTAGACTTCACCCCCTTTCTTAGTTGTTCTCTAGTTTTTAAGTAAATTTAATTTTGTTAGTTAGCATGTAAGAAACCTTCTCATTAAACACATTGAATCAAATTCACTACTACTTTTATTTAAAACATTCTAGTAGAACGGGAGTTCAGAAACACAACTTCCGAGTGGTCTCCGGATAATTTTTTTGTCTCACGACTGCACAATATATTTTAAAAAAATTTACCTATAATTAATATAGCGTCAAAAACAACGATGCCATTGATTGCGATCGTCAACTCTGTAGATCCTATATCAAAAAACATAGCGAAATACAAAATATTTTAAATTATTTATCTGTCCGCTACTTTTAATNCCTATTCTTTGTAATACCTCTTCATTTTTAACCTTTTCTACCCACGTTATCCTCATCCGCCTATAACACCACATTTCGAACGCTTCTTACCTTTTCTTTTACGCCACGCCTACTGTCCATGTTTCGCTCCCGTACAACGCCGTGCTCGAAACATACACCTTTAAATAATATATTAAACACAAGGAGTTAATTATTATTTGAAGAAAAAGAAAAAAATCTATTTTTATGTAATTAAATCATCTTTTTTTTGTCCGAATTCTAGCTTAAATGGCAACCAACATGTTTATTATGGCTAATTAATTGCTTAATGAATATCTAGTTGTATTTTTCTCGTAATGAAATGTGTGTATATGATCGCCTCGCCGTGCACACACCTAATGAATGTGAAATATCTACACATGAGACCCAAGTGTGAAAAGAACTTTTGAATCCAAAAAATTTTCCTGTCTCGTCTGGGTCTACAAACTTGACTCATTATTCATTATGTCATTATGAAACATTTACGAGATTCTTGAATATATTTACTTAATGAAATGAAACTGAAACTTACGTCATTGCCGGTAATTGATAGATAGAGCCAGGATGTCACATTCTTTCTAGGCTATAAACCAGTGGCGGGTCAAAGTAGGTGGACATTTTTCGTCAGATCTATATTTGTATTTTAAATGACCATTCACATGCTAAAGATGAACTCCTCGCACAAATATGTATCTACATTTCTATGAAGCAGAATGTTCAGAAGTAAGTAGCTGAGAATCAAATTTGGGGATACATTTGATAGCCAAAAATTAATGTTTCAGATTGTATTATTCTTATTTCTTTACTTATGTGGACACAATAGGGACAACTTACTATTATATAATATATGTTTAGTGCCAATAATTATCTATATTTTTTACAATTATTTTAATTC